TGCTGACTTTCCCAGTTTTAAATGGAGCCATCTTTGCAAGGTTGCAACCATCTAGACTATAGACTGTATTAATATCACACATCATTATTATTTGGGGGTTAAAAATAGGTTAAGAAATAAAATGGCTTACAAATCTAACTCCATGAAGTCAAAACTGAAGACTTACTATTTTTGGTCCAAAGGTTGGAAGATAGGGTCTTGGAGTGTGGCTCAGTGGTATAGCACATGCCTAGCATGTGTGAGATCCTGGGCTTGGTTCCTGGTACCATACTTTTAAAAAGAGTTTAAAAATAATCAGATGGGTTCATTTGCACTTCTGCTTTTCTTCTTTTCCTCTGAACTGGCAAACATCAGTAAATGGTCATGGAAGAGATTCAACAAGGAAATCTAGATTATGGGTATCTATACATGAATGATAGAAGAAATCCCAATATTAAAATGTCCAGAGCTGGATGTGGTGGCACATGCCTGTGGGAATCAGAGGCAGGAAGTTCAGAAGTATGAAGCCAGCCTGGGCTTTACAGCGAATTCAAGGCCAGCCTCTGCTACCTACTGAGATGCTGCACTGTCTTTCAAAGAAAAACAGTCAAAAATGTGTTAATAAGAGTGTAGCCTCCAGGAACTACAGAGCTGGTTTCTTATGTTAGAGCAAAAGGCCAGGTAAGAGGTGACCAGTGGCTTCAGAAACAGAATAGCTTAGTGTTGTCTTGTCATTGGCCAATGAAGGAAGAGATTCAAGGTGAACATTACTAACTTGTCTCTAATAAGCCATCTGTTATCCACAGGTTCATCTAAATAAACATTGTTAAGGTGGTTCTACTTCAGCCTCCATAAGTCTCTTAGGGTAGATGGAAACTACTGGCCCTCCTGGGATTCACTGGCCCATCTTTTAAAAAGTATTTAATTAAAAAAAGAAAAGAAAAAAGCCAGGTGGTGGTTGTGCATGCCTTTAATTCCAGCACTTGAGAAGCAGAGCCAGAGCCAGGCGGATCACTGTGAGTTCAAGGCCAGCCTGGGCTACAGAGTGAGTTCCAGGAAAGGAAAAGCACAAAGCTACACAGAGAAACCCTGTCTCAAAAAAAAAAAAAAAAAAAAAAAAAAACAAGTATTTAATTAATATATTTATTTATACTGAAAATTCATACATTATATGTTGATCACAGTTTCCCCTTCCCCCTCTCCTCCAAGATCCTTCTCATCACCCCCTACCCACCTACTCTCTTTAGAAAACAAGCCAGAAAAAAAAGCAAAAGATACTAGAAACACACACATAAACATAAAAGGTAAAATTCGAAACTATAGTACACAAACAATCCAGTGGAATAAAAAATGCCAAACAAACCAATATAAGACAAAAAAAATCTACAAAAACACCAATGAGGGGCTGGAGAGATGGCTCTGGGGTTAAGAGCACTGACTGCTCTTCCAGAGGTCCTGAGTTCAATTCCCAACAACCAACGGCTCACGGCTCACGGCTCACAGCCATTTGTAATGAGATCTGGTGCCCTCGTATGGCCTGCAGGCATACATGCAGGCAGAACACTGTGTGTGTGTGTATATATATATATATAATTTATTAATTTTAAAAAACACCAATGAATTCATGATGTGCTGGCCTTCTACTTCTGGGCATGGGAGCAGCCCTTAAGTGCGGTGTATATACCCCGTGAGGTTAGTTATTCTTTTGCAAATGGTTGTCAACTGGAGATAGCTTCTTGGTTAGGAATGGGCATCATGTCCACTTCCCCTTCTCAGTTCGGGGACCCCATGTGGCTCAGACCTGTGCAGGCCCTGTGCATGCTGCTCATTGTCTGTGATATCATGCATGTGTCAATCCTGTTGTGTTTGGAAGATACCGTTTCCTTGACATCATCCATCCCTTCTGTATTTATTTTTATTTATGTACATGTGTGTATTTGGGGGGGTGGAGTAACCACCGAATCCACAGGGGAATCCACAGCTGGAACTGGAGTTATAGATAGGTGTGAACACCTGACATGAGAGCTGGGAACCAAACTTGGGTTCTGGGCAACAACAGAAATATTCTTAACCACTGAGCCATATCTGCAGGTCAACTGCCCCACCTTCTTATTTATTTGTTTGTTTGTTTGTTTTATTTTTATTTTTTTTTTTGGTTTTTTGAGACAGGATATCTCTGTGTAGCTTTGCGCCTTTCCTGGATCTCACTCTGTAGACCAGGCTGGCCTCAAACTCAGATTTGCCTGGCTCTGCCTCCCGAGTGCTGGGATTAAAGGCGTGCACCACCACCGCCCAGCTATGCCCCACCTTCTTAATAGGAGATTCTGAAGTATACTCAAGAAACAATGCATAACCTGATTCTAGGGGAAGGCAAAAAGGCAAAATCTACTAATAGAGGACCATTCTTGGAGCTGAAGAACAACATAGCTTTATTTAGTAAACGTAAGACATTCTGAAATGCCTTATGCTATGAGGGTTTTCTTTACACCAAGTGAAGAGGGCAAATGAGAACAAAGGAACAGGAAGAGAAACAATAAAAGATATAAATGAAGCAGAAGAGTAAGGAAGAAAGAGGAGGATAACCCCAAAGTAGAGGAGCTTACGGACAACACATAGGGAAGGAATCACGGGCTAGAGAGATGGGGAAAGGCACTCGGTGTGCAAGCGTGAGGACCTGAGTTCACATCTGCAGAAGCCGTGTGAGGCTGGGTGGACAACACAGGCATTTGCAAGCCCAGCACTCCTACAGGGAAACGGGCAGCGGAGACAGGAGGCTCCCAGAACCCTCAGCCAGACAGTCCAGTGTACACAGGAGAAAAGCAAGAGATCCACCTCAAGAAAGGTGCAAGGTGAGAATGGACATCTGAGGTTGTCCTCTGACCACCACACATGCACCTTAGCAAATGGGCACCTTCATACACACACACACACACACACACACACACACACACACACACACGTATACATGTATACACAAAGAAAGAGAAGAGAAAGAATTCAGAAGTCCTAACACAAAATAAGTTTTTCAGAGTCTAATAAGTATGGAGTTATGGCCTCAAGACTAATCATTATGCTTTGAGATGTTAGCTAGATGCTAAGTCTTTTTGGAAAACAGTCACTATCTGGTTATTTTTTTCTGTTGTGTGATATTTTGTTTGTGTTCTGACAAATAAAGCTTGCCTGGAGACCAGAGGGCAGAGCTAGTCACTAGTTAACCATAGAGGCCAGGCAGTGGTGGCACACACACCTTTAATCCCAGGACTTGGGAGGAAGGAGTAGGAAGATCAGGAGTTCAAGGCTACCCTGGGCTACACCAGATTGAACCATCTAAAAGAGAAACAGAGCCAGGTGGTGGTGGCTCACACCTTTAATCCTAGCACTAGGAAGGTGGAGACAGGAATCTAAGGTGGGTGAAGACAGGATCTCAGCCTTCCCGCCCCCCCATTCAGTCTGAGGATTCATAGATTTTTCTCAGCTAGGTACAAAAGCTGTTGCTAATAACACCTGTCAAGTTTAGAGGGCATCAGCTCAAGGGATTACTTCTTCATGGTGGACTTTCATTCATGCAAGGTCATAGACAAAGGTCAGACCAAACCAAGTCGACCCAAACTAGGCAAAGAGTGTTTCCTACTCCACCAAGAGTATGTTGTTATGAGTTATTGCATGGGGGGACCCCCGAGGGCGTCCCACAAGGTATGGTGGCAGTGGCAGTGGCCAGTTATTCGTAACCCAGATGCTGCATCCATGTGGAGAGTTTATTATAATAGAGAGGTGAAGAGAAAGATAAGAGAGAAAGAGAGAGAAGGAGAGAGAAGGTGTGCACCTCGTGGAAGAAAAGGGAAGAGAGAGGAAGGGGAGGAGTCTTTCCTTAGAATGAGGCTTTTACGTCAGGATGCAGGGCAGCGCCATGGGGTGGGATTCAAGGGGCGGATCAGAATATTAGCATATATGATCCAAATGTACAGATTTTTCTAAGCAAAGACGTACACCCCTACATTGCTCTCTAGCGTTAATCTCCTTGATATACTACCACAAATCTAGAGTACTAACTTAGAACCAGGAAATCCCCCTTTGCCCTGAAGTCCTTAGTCAACAATCTATATATCTTTGATCTTCTTAGCAATGTCTGCATACTATGCAATTGTTACAGCAACCATGAAATAGCTATGACCATTGCAAGCATTCAATATATTTATAAACCAAGACACAGAAAGGTTCAATAATCTGGCCAAGGTCTCACAGTAAGTGACAAAGCCAACGTCAGAGCGTGGAGTGCAGACTCCAAAGCACTGTCACCAGAGCCTCTTCTTCCTTCTTTCTGATGTCTTTGTGCTGCCCTCTCCTTAGCCTGGGGCATCTGTCTGTCCTGCAGTGACAGCTCTGTCTGTTCTTCAGAGTCTTCAAGAACACTGTCTTCCTGAAATGAAGTTATCTCATGATCCTCCTCCCCCAAGTGATATGAACCAGAACTCTGCATTCCAGACAAAGGCTCTCCCAAGCTGCTTCTCAAGCCAATGCTGGCCACTTGGGAAGTAGTTGTTCTGACGAGGAGTACTGCCCAGTCTCTCCTCTTCACATTTGGGTTCTGCTTTACTGGGCATAGCTGTAGAAGAAAGCTTGGAGATTCCCTATCTAATTTATGTAGCATGTAAGAGAATTTACTCAAGCAAATACAAACCAGGTGGTTAACAAAGAAGAAGTTCAGCTAGCTAAGAGAGAAGAGATCACTAACTCCAAGAAGGCATGCCAACTATGTGGAGTCTTCATCCAAATGGTAACCCACACAAACATGTCTCAGAGAGTGGCAAGTACGGAGAACTCAGCTTTTGTCAATTGCTAAAATCTAAATGTGCATGAGGCAGAATTAACTCATAAAGTATTTGTATTCCTTAGCGAACTCTAGGTTGTAAAGTGACCTTCGTAAAGCCTTTCTGGAATAACTGAGATCATAGTTTCTATCATTCTGAGAACCACCAGTGCATGTGTGGATTTGCTAATGTGGACCTCCTTCTCCTTTCCAGATCCTGGCCATCGTGTCTATCCTGTTCATCGTACTCTCCACCATCGCTCTGTCTCTCAACACACTTCCGGAGCTGCAGGAAAATGATGAATTTGGGCAACCCAGCGACAACCGCAAGCTGGCACATGTAGAGGCTGTGTGCATCGCTTGGTTTACCATGGAGTACCTTTTACGATTCCTGTCCTCACCGAATAAATGGAAATTCTTTAAAGGCCCACTGAATGTCATTGACCTGCTGGCCATCTTACCATATTATGTCACCATCTTTCTCACCGAGTCCAACAAAAGTGTGCTGCAGTTCCAGAATGTGAGACGCGTGGTGCAGATCTTCCGAATCATGCGCATCCTCAGGATCCTGAAACTCGCCAGACACTCGACTGGCCTGCAGTCTCTGGGCTTCACCCTCAGACGGAGTTACAATGAGTTGGGCTTGTTAATATTATTTCTGGCTATGGGGATAATGATATTTTCCAGCTTGGTGTTTTTTGCTGAGAAAGATGAAGATGCTACCAAATTCACCAGTATCCCTGCATCATTTTGGTGGGCCACCATCACCATGACCACTGTGGGCTATGGTGACATTTACCCTAAAACACTGTTAGGGAAAATTGTGGGTGGCCTCTGCTGTATTGCAGGAGTCCTGGTTATTGCCCTTCCTATACCCATCATTGTGAACAATTTCTCTGAGTTCTACAAGGAGCAAAAACGCCAGGAGAAAGCTATTAAAAGGAGGGAGGCTCTTGAAAGAGCCAAAAGGAATGGCAGCATTGTCTCTATGAACTTAAAAGATGCCTTTGCTCGAAGTATGGAACTGATAGACGTGGCTGTGGAGAAGGCTGGTGAGTCAGCCAATACCAAGGACTCTGTGGATGATAATCACCTGTCTCCAAGCCGGTGGAAGTGGGCCAGGAAGGCTCTGTCGGAAACAAGCTCCAATAAGTCTTACGAGAATAAGTACCAGGAGGTTAGCCAGAAAGACTCCCACGAACAGCTGAACAACACTTCTTCTTCCAGCCCACAGCATCTGAGTGCCCAGAAACTGGAGATGCTCTACAACGAAATCACCAAGACACAGCCTCATTCCCACCCAACCCCGGACTGCCAAGAACAGCCCGAGAGGCCATCTGCGTATGAGGAGGAGATAGAAATGGAAGAGGTGGTCTGCCCACAGGAGCAGCTGGCGGTGGCACAGACCGAGGTCATCGTGGACATGAAGAGCACCTCCAGCATTGACAGCTTCACCAGCTGTGCCACTGACTTCACAGAGACCGAGAGATCCCCCCTGCCACCCCCCTCTGCCTCTCACTTGCAGATGAAGTTCCCCACTGACCTCCCAGGAACAGATGAGCACCAAAGAGTCAGGGCACTTCCATTTCTAACACTGAACAGAGATAAGGGGCCTGTTGTCAGGGAGGCTACACTGGATTATGCCCCAATTGATATAACTGTGAACCTCGACGCTGGGACTTCCCATGGTCCTTTGCAACCTGACAGTGCCACTGACAGCCCTAAGAGCTCGCTGAAAGGGAGCAACCCCCTCAAGTCCAGATCCCTCAAAGTGAACTTTCAGGAAAACAGAGGCAGTGCACCCCAGACCCCACCCAGCACAGCCAGGCCACTGCCAGTAACCACGGCTGACTTTCCGCTCACCACCCCTCAGCACATCAGTACCATCCTTCTAGAAGAAGCCCTTCCCCAGGGAGAGAGACCCTTGCTGGGTGCTGATGCTTCAGCACGCTGTCAGGGATCTTCCAGAGGGCTCTCCCCTCGATTTCCCAAGCAAAAACTGTTTCCTTTCTCTTCTAGAGAAAGAAGGAGCTTCACGGAAATAGACACTGGAGATGACGAAGACTTCTTGGACCTCCAAAGGTCAAGACCAGACAAGCAAGCAGACTCCAGCCCCAACTGCTTATCAGACAAGCCTGGCGATGCCAGAGACCCTTTAGGAGAAGAGGGCTGTGTGAGCTCCTCCTCCCCTCAGAACACAGAGCACAACTGTAGGCAAGACATTTACCAGGCTGTGGGTGAAGCCAAAAAGGACAGTAGTCAAGAAGGGTACAAGATGGAGAACCACTTGTTTGCCCCAGAAATTCATTCCAACCCAGGAGACACGGGTTACTGTCCCACTCGTGAGACCAGCATGTGACTAGTTATAAAAGCAATAAAAAAAAAAACTTCTTTCTTAAAAATGCGATTAATAATGCCGTGAACTAAAATATGGGAAACCCCTCCCCCCCCAAAAAAAAACAGTGCATAAAATGTTATTTTTGCATGGCATGAACAGTTTAGTTTAAGTACTGTTTAAATAAAGAGTCAAGACTGCATTTTGTAACAAACAAAACTGAGTCAAGAGCAGCGAGCAAATAAAGAGCTCTGTTAGGAACCAGTGCTCTGCAATGTCTGACATTTTTGATCCTTTCATTTCGAACTGTAGGCAGGTTTCCGGTTTTAACTTTTACATTACCATGAATTTTAGGATTTGCACATGAAAGGATGAAATGTCATTGCATGTGTTCATGCTTATGGGGAGTAAGGTGCTTTGAGCTTGCAAAATGCATAACTCTGTACATAGGCCTGGATGCAGAAGTCTCAAGAACACGTGGACGCGAGTTCCTGAGACACAGGTAATCCTTCACAGCCACTGCCTGGAGGAGCTGTCCAGACTTCCTGTTGCAAAACTGCAACCTCTTCTTAACCCACTTTCCTTGTGCATCTTGCTTTGGATTATAAAGCTCTTACGTTTGTTTAAAGGAATACAGTATTTTTATTTATTTGGGATATAATTCAGAGGGTATGTTTATATGTATTTTTATTTATTTGGAATAAAATTCAAAGGGCATTCTTTTTCTTTCTTTTGCTTTTGCTTAGTTGTTGCATTTGTGGTGTCATTTATAAATCATGGAAATCAGTAAGATTTAATGACCAGATATCAAGTATTTGGAATTTAAGCTTGAACTTTCGCCTATTACAGACTATTACAGAAACTCAGTTTTCATAAACTTGAAAATGTATAGAAGGTTCTATCATAAAATAAAAATTTTAAATAGTTATTCCACACTTGGAAATCATCTTTAAAACAATTTCTTTTGGCACTACACACATGGCTGTATTTTCCTTTGGTGTCTAGCATACAAGTTAAGATCTGCTAAAATGGAAATTCCACAAAGTGACTGTTGACAGACTAAAAGTAGAGCCCCCTTCCTTGACAGAGCGGGTCCCCAAATGAGGTGCCATGCTAGGAGCCCAGGTCTGGAGATGGACCACAAAATCCTTTCCAATGTAGGATAGAGATGTAGACTGACACGACCAGTCGTGGAAGGATGCTGTTCTGGCAGACTGTGAATCCTTCCCAAGCAGGGCAAGAACACTCTCAGTAACTGCAGCAACTGGACAGGCTCTCCCAGGTTTCCAGCCCCCAGAACCCCCTAGAAGAGGTCAGGACTCTCCTTGCTGAGAGTCCCTTCTGGCACTTTCTTAAGGAGCACACTGAACGCAAACGCACTGGGCACTGGAGGTTGCCCACTCACTGGACTGACCTGCTTCGTGGAAACCAAGGCTCTCATTACTGATGATCAGCTACCAGCCATACCATCTCTGGAATGACTCTACAACCTCTTGTGATCTCACTTGTATTGGAATAAAAACAAAGACCAAATTCTTTCTAGGCCCCCTTAAGATCTCAAATGAATGATTTCTAGTTTCCTGGCAATGCTCAGGTTTTGCCTCAGCAAAATGTATTTTGTGTGTGTGTGCATAAAGCTGAGGGAATTGGAAAAACTAAAAGCAAAGCTTATTGTTTAAGGAAAAAAATCTAAATTTTGTTCTTTTTTAAAAGGAAAGCCATTCAGGAAAAAATAGCCCAAATATTTATAATCTAATATAAGTCTTTAATATTTCTTAATTAATAGCCTCTGGTCATTAAATCTCAGATCAAAAAACAAATTTTGTTTTTTGTTAAAATCCAAGCAGTCTTGATGTTAAAACTAACTGAAAACATTTGTTTTATCCCACTGTGCTTAGAATTTCTTAATGGTTTTCATGTTTGTTTCAAAACATAACCCTTAAGAGTTTATAGTCATTAATCATTAATATTTATATTATGCATACTTCTTTTAGTGTCTAAAGACTACATGTTGATCAGTTTTTGTAAATCTAGAGTATTTGAATTTTCTATATATAGTTTTTCAAAGTCAAGTAGGTATATCTATTGTTAGATAACTAGCAAATAAGTTATAAAGATCATTTTCTTCATACAGCTCATAAAGCAGTTATTTTCTAACGTCTCCAATTGATGAATCTCTATTTTTTTTATTCATCTGGCTTCATAAGTGGACTTACTGCCCTGCCAAATGACCAGCGTCCCACCCTCCGTGTGTCTGTCAGGCCTTCTACTGAGAGCCCTGTTCCATAACACTTACCATGGGGACCCTTACCCGGTCTAAAAGTCTCGGATGTTTTTCCTGGAAGCAATTTTCCTAAAAAGTCTCTCCCTGTCATTCTAAAGGTTTGCTAGGAAGGTTTCTGTTTGTTTTGTTTTAAAGTTTTAAAGAATTTTTTTAAAAAAATCCCTTGGAAATCTCATCCTTTGAGTTCTCTTAGTTCCTCTGAATCAAAAGTCTTCAGCTAGGAGAAAAGAAAGAAAAATTTCCTCTAGGAAATCTTTGACTTTGCTATTTCACATGGAGGTATCTCCCATAATGCACCCATCAAGCCTTCCAAACTTCAGCAAATGGTATCTAACTCAGAGGAGAATGTGTCTGTCTGAAAAGACCTGGAGACCTGGATACACCTATCAAGTGTGGAGTTCTTTTGAAGTCTTCTTCTGTGTTCTACATTAAAAGTTTGTGTTCATGTAGCAACTTACACTATGATATATCTGTTTCAGTATTTTTTAATGCTGTTTTATATTTCTCATCAACAGGAAAACTGACAGTTTTATGACTTCAAATACCTCTTTTGTATCCCTTGGAAAACACCACCCAAGTTTAGAAAGGACTGCCTGAATGGGCTATTGGAAGGTTGCACTTCCAAGAGTTCATTTCACAGTTAGTTAGCTCAGTGACCAGGAATAAAGGCCAATGAAAAAGGCTATTTGAATGGCCTCAAAATAGCATGGTCCCTCAAATGGCTAAGATGTTTCTGCTGGCTGTCTTAACCAGCAACAAATTGCCACAAAATGTTTTTATCTCAAAGATAAGAGCATAGGAATGAGTGTGCATTGAGTACTGGGATGGAGATCAATGGTAAAAAGCCTGCCTAGCACACATGACACCCTTGTGAATCCCCAACACTACAAAAGAAAAGGGGAAGATGGCCGGGCGGTGGTGGCGCACGCCTTTAATCCCAGCACTCGGGAGGCAGAGCCAGGCAGATCGCTGTGAGTTCGAGGCCAGCCTGGGCTACCAAGTGAGCTCCAGGAAAGGCGCAAAACTACGCAGAGAAACCCTGTCTCAAAAAACCAAAAAAAAAAAGAAAAAGAAAAGGGGAAGAAATGCCTTAAGTAGGTCCACAAGCACATACCAAGTGGGTCCCTGAAACTGACTTAATTGTTCTCGAAATATTTCACTAGTAATTCCCTCACCCTGACACAGTAGACTGCCTTGAAGCAAGATGTGATTAAACACTATCATGATGAGACTAGATCTGGTACAAAGAGAGTATGTGTCCACTGTCTGACCCCATATTCTCTTGTTAACATTCTTATTTTCATGCTGGCCATGAAAATTTCACAATTTATTTTCTCTTGAAATTAAAAAGGAAGGAAAAAAAGCTTAGGTATGTAGGCTATTTCACAGTTCTATCAATGTCTAAAATTATGTAAATAAACAGGAACCACATTGATAACATAAAGGTTTTTTTTTTTTTAAAGTAGCAAGAAAGTCTGTGAGGTAGTAAGGGCCTGATAATTAATCTGAACCAAGTTAGGCGCTTATATTTGCCAGCTGGGAATTCTGGCCATAGTGTACACGTCCCTTAGCATAGGAGAAAGCCCCATTGTTTACAATGTGACAGGACACACACATGAGGGAGACTATAGAAAGCCACTTGCTCTTCCTAACCAAAAGCAGACAGAATTCAATGACCTTCAGTCTAAACTAAAACACATCACTTATTGAATTTAGTCACATTGTGCTGTTTGCCCATTCAGATGATACTAGATGAACGCTTCCTCTTCCATGCCAATTACAGGAGCTGAGCAAAGGTACAGCTCTTAGCCTCATGGAGCTTCCCATCACTTTCAGCTACACCACCGATGCAAAGGTAAAGGTCACCTAACAGGCTGAAAAAAAAAAAATCACCCAATGATCTCAGCAGAGAACTATAGAACATAAATAAATTATATCACTTTCCCAAAGAACATTTTCCTAAGAAATAGATGAATTTTATAAAGTCTAATTTATAATTATGTTTGAATCATGTTTAGTTTTCATACTTGATATGACAAATTGTTGATCTGATTGAGTGAGATTGTGAACTACCTTTGCTATCTGGTAAATGAAAAAATAATATTTTATGGTTGGGAATGTACCTCCGTGATAGAGCACTTGCCTGCATAAGGCCCTGGATTCTATTCCCAGTACCAAAAGAAAAAAAAAGAAAAGAAAAAGATTTTAATTAGATATATTTCTTATCAAAATAGTTAATAATAGTCTGTCACACATAACTAGAGAAAAATTTAATACCAAGGGAAAGGATTGGAAAATCTTACATTTCTGAATAAATTTTAAAAAGGAGTATTTTAAGTGCTTTTCTTCCTGCAGTCTTTTGGCAACATTACAGGACTACAACATTATTCTCTACTTACTCCTCTAAATTCCTAACACTTAAAAGTCAACCCCCCTGGCTTGACTCCAAGAATCTGATCACTAGGTCCACGGAGATTTTAAAGTGTATGGGTTACTTTGCCACTGCAATGTCTCCCTCAAAGTAACACAAAAATTAATAAACCAAAAGGAAATAACAGAAAACACACACGAGAAAGAGAAATGGGTTTGGCGGCACATGGCTTTATTACTGGGAGGTTGAGACAGGAAGATTCTGAGCTAGAGCACAGTCGTGGCTACATAGTGAATTTCAGACTAGCCTGGCTCATCTAGGAAGACCCTATCCCAAAAGGAGGGGGAGGAAGAGGAGGAAGAGCAGCAGCAGCAGCAGCAGCAGCAGCCAGACATGGTGGTGTGCACAGGAGTCCCTACACTCATGAGGTGAGAGGCAGGCTAATCTTGAGTTCCAGGCCAGCCTGGTCTACATATCAAATTCCAGTCCAGCTAGAGCTACACAGTGAGATACTGTCTTTAAAAAGAGAGGAGAGAGCGGGGAAGAAAATAAAAAGAAACTATGAGATGAAAACATTCAAAGGCCAGTTTCTTCTAAGAAGAGGAAGGCCTTGACTCAACAGTTCTTGTGAACAGCCTGTGCACATTTTAGTAAATACTGTGATTTGCTGCAGTCCTTGGGTGGTTTCAACAGTCATTTCTCCCACTTACTTTTGTAAAATTACCCAATTAAATTCCATGATTCCTTACTTACCACTGTCATTAACATGCATTACCTCCCTTAGTAAGTCTAAAATGTTATTTTATGGAGACAATATATATATATATTGAGAGAGAGAGAGAGAGAGAGAGAGAGAGAGAGAGAGAGAGAGGTATAATAAGTCATTTCAAAACCAGAAAAAGACAAAATTACAAAAGATTTTTAAAATGTAAGTAATTAGTGTATTCTTAATTTGTCGTATACACACCTGCATAAATGTTGTACTTATATGAATATACATGTATGAAATTTAGATACTTGATACATGAAGAATAGAATAGAATTAGTCCATAATTTTAACTTCACTTTCTCTCCTAAAGAAGTTATTTCTTATCATCAAACAATTCTAGATTACTGTTGATACATAACAAAACTTCCTTGAGTTTTTTGCCTAAAGTTAATTGCCTAAAATTAACAAACACATACAGTCCATGCCCTCCAGTTTACAGCCTAGCAGATGCTTCATATTTAAGTGATTGTGTTCCCACATGAAATCCGCTTTCACAGAGTGGGCTAGTCTGTCATCTGAGATCTCCAAAGCCCTTTACTGTCCCTTAGACTCAAGGTGTTTATTTTCGTTCTTTAATCTAGTATCTGAATTCCACCATATAATTCCTAAACATTCTGGCTTAAAATTACAACATCTGCCTGAAATTAGTGACAGTGTATGAAGATATTTCCACTTCAAAAAAGAAAAATAAAGATGAATAAAAAAATGTATAGACAAAAATCATATTTATTAATAAAAATGACTTTAAAAAAATAGGCACTCTCTCTAGGTAGCCGAGGTTGGCCTCAGAATCACAGTCCTCCTGTCTTGGCTGCCTATGAAGTGGTCATTTTTAACTATTCTGTCTCACATTTTCGACCCTACCCTCTATTTAAGCCAGCACAACCTACTGCTTGGTAAAAGTCTACTGCTGGTCTGAGTCTATTCACAATGGGGCCTGCTGACAAAGATATGACTGGATAGTTTTTCTTATAATTCTTTTACATGTAACTGAATCTGAAACAGATTGAGGTGGCATGTCAAGTCAAAACAATAGCCTTTCAGAATGAAGACACAGAACACTGACAGCCTGAGGTGAAGGTGCAAAGGTGTATCATAATCCCCACCCTTCCGCTGTTCTTCTCTGCCTGACATGCCTTCTAGTGCTCAATTCGAGAAAAGGTGGATTCTTTGAGAATGTGCACATAGATGTCATGGTCAAGGTCAACCCTATTCCTGTCCCCTCAACCCCCCTCCAGATCCCCAGCTCTGTTCCTTCCCAACTCCAGATGTTCTGCAAAGGGTAGGATCCTATTTGCACAGAAAAGGTAGTTGGTAACCAGGAGCAAGGACAAATTCTCTACCATTTATGATGTCCATGCCCCCCCCCCCCCCGCATGTAGTCAGAAATAGCTAGGTTCCAGGCATTTCTGTGATCACATCTCCTTTTGCTTTTTATTGTCCCTTTGTGTTTGCTACCCTCTGAACTACACTTTCAGGGAACCTCAGCTACTGCCTATAACACACACACACACACACACACACCACACAAAAACATCAAGTTTTGCTAAATCGTGATCAGTGCTCTAGATATGCACTGTAGATCCACAGTGTGTGCCACTTTGACATTCTTGCCACTATGGGAAGCTAGAGAAGAATGCGAATGGCAATGGGGGGGGAGGGGGATGGTTACGAGTCATGATGTAAAGACAATGCTGTCTTGTTGGTCCGCTCAACAGCTTCTACTCAGATAGCTTCTACTTGGAGACTCTGACCAGAGTATGGCACAGCCACTGGCTTGACTCTAATTGAGAAAAGAGTGTCTTCTAAATTTCCCATAAACATCAATTTGTGCTCACCCATCCTTAAGGCAAAGTGTAACCAACATTTTTATTTGCAGCGTATGGGCTAGGCTTTTTTTTTTTTTTTTTTGCCTGCAAGTTTTATACAAATCACTATATTTGACTAAAATTGGGAGTATTCTTTAAGAAAAATAGACATTAAAAAAGAAATATTATTAGTATTAACCCAAATTACTTGCTCAACGGGAATGCTGTCACCAGAAATAATTAATAAAAGTGTATATACTACTAAACTTTCAGTGAAGAATTACCAAAATTCTTTGTATTCAGCTCAAAATCAAAGAAAGAAAAAAGAAAAATCTGCAACTCACAAAATATTAGGTTTATCACACAATTATCAAGTTCCAAGCTTATATAATTTTAAAGAGGTATATATTAAACCATAAAAAAATTCAAAAGTGAGTGTGTAGAAAGGGTCTCCTAAGCAAATGTGAGGTTCCATTCGCAAGCTGAAGCATTTTAACAGCCTTTGATCTAGCTACAGAATAGCCATGCATGCTCTGAGCACCTTACTTTCAATGGAATCGTTTATTTTCCACTGTTGCTTATATGTGGTTTGCTTGCTTGTTGTGTTTTGTTTGAAGAAGGGAGTATTCATAGAAAAAAAGGAGTGTTTAAAGGAAGAAATTATTGGGCAACTTATTATTACCGACTATAACTGGAGTAGGTTGGAAACTAAGTGGCCTTCACTGTCCTGTTCCTCCCCCACTCCCCTTTCCAGGCTTCACTATCCTGGTTTGAAAGGACAGTCCTGTGATCACATCTCACATCCTTCTCCTTCCAGTTTTTCATTCCTCTCCTATCTATAGTACATGCCAGGAATCCTGCCCTGGGGCCCACCTGCTTAGAGCGCATAGGAACCTAGTCACAAGCAGGAGTAAGTGGGCCCATTAGCAATAACAACTTGAAGCCTAAAGCCAGAAGGAAGGAACCAGAAAACTCAGAGGCCAAAGGTACACTGTGCCAGCATAGAAAAGCAACATGATTTGACATCGTTCTTTCCCCTATGAGTGACCAAAATTATAGTTCAGGCAGTGGCACTGTGGGCAAGCCCAGGCATCCCTCCTTCTGTGTATGTGCTCTGCAACTGAGCTGCACTCATGGACCAAACACGGTGTTTTTAAGTTTCTACCAAGCTGTAAAACTTGAAAGGAAATAGCAGGGTTTTTGAGAAAGGTGGGACAAAACTTATTAATGTATTCCAAGGCAATCATCTCAAATGCAAGCCTTTCTACTAAATGTGTATGAAGCTGATGAGTGTGTCTATTTTCAGGGCAATGTCCCAAAAGGAAGATACCAATATCATCATCTATAGTAACAGACATTTCAGTTGGGGAAAATTGACATTCAGGTCAATTTTCATATAGTTAGGGGACAAAATTCTAATAGCCATTCAAACAAAACCTTAACAAAAGGTGAGGGTGGAAAGAAAGCCATACTGAAAAGCTCATGCTTTGTCATCCATCTAATTATAAACAATTCATATTTGGATTAGGATTTTAAAATTTTCTTTTATGTAAAAAGTGTCTTAAGATTACCATGTGAAATATATACTACTTATTTTATTAGAAATATGTAGATTTTTTAAAAGACTATTATAACTTAAATAAGATGGAATATAGGAAAATGCCAAGCATACTGCTGGACAAATAAAAGATATGTGTCTTAAAACAAGAACTCCAAAGGAAGCAGTTCAAGTCACATTTGTGTCCTCAATACTAAGTTCTCAAATTCTTCTGTAGCTTCTTGAACAGCCAAAAATTTTAATGTGTGTTTAAGTAAAACCTACTGTTATATAAAATATAGGTCATTTCATTTGCTAAGTTATATACCTATAGGTACTCTATGTGGCTTTCAAGAATGATATTATTTTAACATGTTTAAACAGATAACATGTTATGGAAACTAGTAGTACATTTTCAACCTAATTGCCTTAAATTTTTAGTGTTTAGTTTGCGAGTATCAGTTTTTTCTTGAGGAAAACAGCTGCCTACAATATTTCAATACGCAGTCTGTTTGGAGAGTATTTTGTATTTTTCTGTTACCACAAATTTAAGCTGCATCATCATCATCATGGAATCATTCAACATGGTAGTCCATCTTCCCACTTCAAATGTTTGCAAACCTGTGGACCCATTTCATAAAGGGATTCACAGCCAATTTGGTTCCACAGTTACAATAACTGGTCCTTTGCCAACTATATTTTGAGTACAAAGGCTTTGTCATTTAATGTATTTTTTTCCTCATTAAATTTGTTTTGCTTTCAAAAATCTATAGTATAGATTGTCATCAGTAGATTTCATTGGAGGCTTTTGTGTTGCTTTATTTTAATGTTAATCCTACTGATCAAGGAGGGCTAATTTTTCATGTCAGTGTATTTAAAATTCTGAGTTATAAAATTGAGATGAACCCCCATATCTTGTGATGATAAGTGATGACCAGGGGAGCGCCATACAAGACAGCACCCTTCACACTCAGTCTGGACACAATGCAGCAACTCCAGGCAGGGCAGGTTGACCTCTGTGGAAACAGAGTGTGGCGGCTCTGATGTTAAAGACAAGCTAAACTGGGGGTTCTTCTATTGACTCTACAAAAGACTTCCCAAGATACATTAAAACTTTCTTCTAAGAGGATCTAGTAGCCATCGCTGAAAAAATAAAAACCATACTTTAATTTTAATGAATTTTCATTTGTTTAATTGGCTTGGGATGATTATTTTGAAGATGTTTGGTTGGGTGTGGTTTTGGGGAGATGGCAGCTCTTTGTGGGGGTTCCTCAGTAATTTTATGAAAACCTTAGTATAACACATTACTTGGTTTGGACTTTCAATTCGTTATAACGCTTAAAAAATAATTCATGTTCTAAGTCATAATTGCATGACAGTTTAGCTCTTATTATATTTAGTTATAGCCTAATGGAGACTGTATCCCTCTGTTTTCTCAAAACAATAAAGTTCCTAGTTTATTAAATAGAATTCTGACAGAAAATTATGCCGCCCAATCAGCTTTAAGTGTACCGATCCCTGTCTCTGTGTAATTTGTACAACACTTCCGTGTTGACTGTCATGTGTCTCCTGCATTCCAAAGCTACACTGTCATCCTTTCATCTTACTACGCAAAACTCAGCTGTGGCGATGTCGCATGCACAGGCCGTGATGCAAACACGTCTGTGAACTGCTCAGTCAGCATCACGTCCACAAAGTCTGAGGCAATGCCACAACCCTGTAGTCCAAATGGCGCACTGTGGAGATCGTCTTCGTCCCTGCGTTCTTTACCACAAATGCTGAAGCAGTGTTTTTCAGTGCTTTTTAGATTTGTAATAAAAATCTCTGTGTCATAGCTACATAGCAGTATATCAAGTAATTCAGTTTTAAAATGTTGCCTACTGACAAACTAAAGAAAAATATCTACTAATTTTCCCATATAATTGCTCAAATTCTCTTCTGTTAGCAATATAGGCCTGTCTCAAATGATGTCTCTCATCACTATTACATATAAAATAGGAGGAGGGTACTGTGATGAGATTTTACCTGCCTAACATTAGCTGTTAAAACCAGCCAAAGATTGTACTAGCCTCGGAAGTGATTCCTCTATTGGACTCTAATATTCCAAAACACTGGATGTGAGCACACTCAGTGTTGGAGTGCTTACCTAGTGCATGCAAGGCTGTGGGTTCAAACCCTGGCATCAGGAAACTAACAAACAGAAATTTGGATATCTGCAAAATTAACGATTATGGACACTGGGGTTCCAGTATTTAGGGAAAGGGGGAGGGGAGTAAAAAGGGAAAGGAGGAATGGGAGAAAATGGGGAAGAGAAAAAAAGGAGCGCAAACAAAGGAAGGATCAAATGGGGGAGTTAATGCTTGTAGCATATGCTTATGGGGAAGTGACGGGCTTTGCGAGCTGTGCACACACAGGCACTCATGTGTTTAGGATCAGAAAGGGATCCTAAATTATCTGCTGGGTTTTCCCCCTGTGGTTCACTAAAGTCATGTTTTTCCTTTTTAATTGTCTAACTTGCAAAAGGCATTAATACAAAATTTAATGTTAGAATTATAAGCTTATTGTTAAACTCAGGACAACTCTGTAAAGATTCATATTAATTTTCTGAAAATTTATGATGAAGGTATTTAGTACTGTCAGAAATTAATGCATTCAAAAAAGCCTTGTTGGGGGTAATCCTGGATGATTTCTCTACAAAACATATTACTATACAACCTGTCCTTTTTCTCTCAAGTTATAGAGGCTTTAAATATTGTAATGAAGTCCCTAAACATCCCCCAGGTTACAAATACTCAAAAATATTTTTTAAATCTAGGGAGTAAAGTGTCAGAAATTAAATACTAAATGAGTAGTTCCTCAAATGCTTCTCTACATATATATTCAGTAAAACAGCTTCCTATCTCAGAGCTGTACACGGCATTAGGTTTGTAGCTACAGTGCATGGTACATCATCCCTTTTATTAACTTCAGTGTCTTAGAGGGTTTTCACACTAGAATATAAAAGCTCTGAATGCTGCAGGGAAAAAGAAGCACAATCAGTATTTTGTTTTAAGAGTCCCCAAATGAATGACCCTGTCCTGTCTACTCATGTAATAATTGCATTTCATCCTATACTCTGTTGACTTTCAATACAGATTCTCACTAGGGGCTAAAGCGTATGCGTAACTGGCTAAATCTTGTCTAGTCTCATTCATCTGCCTCTACATGCTTTATTTCATTATATCTGCAAATGAGATGTTTTGGTTTCAGTTCTGTAAAGAGGATGTGGTTTAGCATATGCGTGTTTGTTTGGCTGTCCATCCTGCACCACTAATACAATGCCTTTTTCTCCCATTTAATGGTATTTGTATCTGTGTCCCTATATCTGCTGCACTTTAGCTCCATAAAAAGAAAACATGATTTTGTATTTATAGTTTTGCTCATCAACTCAGTAATTCTGCAGCAATCCGCGTACTTCTCTGCATGTGGTAGTCTGTACAATTGTTCGACATCAAAATACTTGTTTATTTCATGTCAAAATGTCTATCAAATTGCCAGCGTTGTTCTCCATTTCAGTCTGGTAGAATAAGTGAGATAGAAAATAAATGTGTAAATGAGTCATCTGTGTCATGTCGGTTCTCTGCATGAAACCACTTTAACATCAAGCATGGCACCGGTGTTGCCTGCCAGCAGCCCACGGGAGCCTGACCCCTCATGGCTGATGGCGTAGGCAGGTGGTCTTTAGAGAACATGGGAAAGCTCTCAAGTCCTGAGGGGATGGGGGTTGGACCCTTGGCCACTCCGAGAAAGGACTGGATTCTCCTTTTCAAAACAATCCTTTTACAAAGATGACAGGCAAATGTCACTTGCTTTATACTTTTTTAAAAAACCCAATGCAGGTCCTGGAGAAATGGCTCAGCAATTAAGAGTGCTTCCTGATCTAACAGTGGACCCACGTTTAGTTTCCAGTATCCATGTTGGGCAGCTCACAACCACCTGTAACTCCAGCTCCAGGGCATCAGACCCCACCCCCCTTCTGACCTCTGCAGTCACCAAAACACACACACACACACACACACACACACACACACACACACACACACACACACACACT